ATATTGTCAACTATAAGCATTTTAGAGAGAGGGAAGAGTAATATTCAAAATTTAATCATCCTGTAAATGTAGAAACTTTGAAAGATAAATATTTATGGACATATGGCATTATTTTATTTGGACACATTTTTCTTTAGTAGATTTTTTTTACTCTCAGTACAAATACTTATTCATTTCATAGAACAAAATTTAGAAATATAATTCGAATCAATGACATGTCGGTATTGCACAATAGATTTAAAAGCAACGAAAAGTGTCCAGTTGCAAACTGAATGCATACCGAACTGACCCTTGCACTATGTCCATCTCGCTCTCTCTCTCTCTATAAACTGGCGAACGGATTCATACACTGTTCCCGATTCTTCTACCGGTGGTTTAATTCTAATGCTCTCAGCATTTTGTAAAGAATATTTAAACCCCGGAAACTCGGTGAATCGGGGCAGTCCTGGGCCAGTCCGGGGGCAGTCAGGAGCCACCTTGAGAGCCAGTCAGGAGCCTCTACTTGACAAGCAAACAGCCCTTGGAGTGTAAGTATTTGATTTTATAATAAACCGAAAAAACTGATTGATTTGTGTGTTTTTCCCTCTCCGCAGCCAAGCGAGTAGCCCGAAGCAATAATCTTTTTTTTTTAACAATTAATTTTAGTATTTTAAACGGCAGACGTGACGGTTCACTCTTATTTTTCATATTTTTCATTACCCTATATAGAATCTATAACTTGGAAATTAAAAAACATTTTTTCAGATATGAATGACATTCGACTAGCTTTTACGAATAAATTAATTATTAAAAATATTTTTTCTAGTCTTAAAGATGAAGTTCCTTTATTATATAAATCTAATGTTGTATATAGTATTCCATGTAAAGATTGTCAAAAAGTTTATATTGGGCAGACTGGTAGGAGGCTTAAAGATAGAATTGTTTCTCATAAAAGTGACATTAGACTCAATAAGAATTCTTGTATGTTGTCAAACCATACAAATAGTTGTAAACATGATATTGATTTTAACGAAGTAAGTATAAAATTTACAGAAAATAATT